TAGAGTATCTTAGAGAGGCAGAGGAAGAATGACACCCCCATACCATCAGAGATGTAGGCTTTTGAACTGAACGCTGATAAAAAGCCGGATGGTCCCTCTCCTCTTTAGTTTAGAGGATGCGGTGTCCGTGGTTTCCAAAAAGAATTTCAAATTTCGATTCGTCTGACCACAGAACAGTTTTCAACTTTGCCTCAGTCCATTTTAAATGAGCTTTGGCCCAGAGAAGACGGCAGCGTTTCTGGATCATATTCACATGATGCTTTGCATGATGGAGATTTAACCAGCATTTGACAATACCACAGCGAACTGTGTTCACAGACAATGAGTTCAGGAGGTGTTTTTGAGCCCATGCAGTATTTCCCATTACAGAATTGTGCTTATTTTTAATGCAGTGCCACCTGAGGGCTTGAAGATCACGGGCATGCAATATTGATTTTCACCCTTGTCCCTTACGTACAGAGATTTCTCCAGATGCTCAAAATCTTTTCACAATATTATGCACTATATATGATGAGAAATTCATAGTCTTCAAAATTGTAAATTGAGGAACATTATTCTGAAATTGTGCCAGAAATTGTGTTGTGTACACAGTTTTTAGCAGATTTGTGAACCTCTACCCATGTTTACTTCTAAAATACTCTACCGCTCTAAGATAGTTCTTTTTATACCCAATCTTTTTTGGAATTGGGGTTGTAAATCCCTTTCAGGAAGCTATAAAGCCTGAAGAATATTTGAAAGTATTTTTGTTGTAAGAGTGCCCTATGTTGCTCATGAAAGTACAAAAGCATGTCTTATTTGCAGGTTAAATATAGACACTTAGAGGTACTTTAGTTGTCCCTCCAACCCTACAACTGAGTGTTTCCATATCAGGAAGAGCCCCAAATAGAACTAAGGACCCATTACTATTCTAAAAACCCTTAATTGTTTCTTTCTTCAGAATGTGAAGCTAAAAATCCTAAGAATGACAAATGGTTTAAGACATTTCAGACTATTTAGCTGTCCATTTTAGGTTTTAATAATTTGATTCATGCCAGAGTATAGGCTGCATGTAGAATTTGTTTTGTAGATTGTCATGAAAACCTGGAAACATTTGAACTTTAAACTACACTAACTATTGTTACCAATTGACAGCATTTTCCTGTAAGGAAGGTGAATACCTGGACATGAAGACACAGGAGTGTCAGAAGTGTGCAGCAGGGACCTACTCCCTGGGTACAGGAGTGGCCTTCGATGAGTGGGACAATCTACCTGCTGGTTTTATCAGCCATGGCATCAATATGGACATAGGAAACATCTACTCTAACTGTTCCAAGTGAGTAATTGAAATGGGAATTTTGTTAAATTGTGCCTCTTATTGGTTAATAATATGTATGTGGACTGTATGTGGGTGCATGTGTGATTATGATCATTATTATAATATATATATTTTTAATCATATGTCAACAAACATTGATTACACTACTATATAAATTACCAGAGAATGTAAAAAGAAGGTATCTGGCAAAAAAGGCTACTGTCAGTTTCAGGTCCAAAGCTCATACAATCAGTCAGTTCCCAGCATTACATCCACACATCAAAGCAAACAAGTAATGAATAAAACACAGTGGTGTGTGCTGTTATAGGAAAATAATCCATAGTATTGTGGATATAATAGTATGTCCTGAAATGTCTCAATCCTCTTGTACTACAGCAATTTTCCAACAATTTTTCATTTTACAGTTACATTTAATTTTGTTGAATGTCAGTGACAAGTTAGTTCCTTTTATCCCTTACATTAACAGCTGTTCCCTCACCAGCCTTTCTATTTTTTCCTCAAAAAAAGACAAAAATAAATAAATAAATAAAACTCACCTTGTCACGTTACCAAGGAACTCTCTACACTACCAAGGACTCTGCAGTGGCGGATAGCTTACTGACCTTTAGAAAGCATGGACACCTGAGACATTAAAGTTAAATAAACATTTCCTTACAGAATGCTTTGATTACACGTCTTTCTGTGTTAACAACACGCTTTCTTAATTTGTTATGAAGTTTGATGTGAATTGTCTACCATGCAAGTCCTCATGAGTTAGTATTTACTGTGGAAATAATAACTTATTAGAACAAGTGCATTAATATAAACCTAAAATTTGAATTACAGAGGGAGCTGCGATGTTATTTATAAATGAATCCACAATCATGCTGTGGTATAAATGCAAATAAATAGTCTTTAATTACATGAAATTATTGTAACGTTAAATCCGAAAGACTTTCAGTAATACTTAATACTTTCAATAATGTTTTGTGTGTGTGTGTGTGTGTGTGTGTGTGTGTGTGTGTGTGTGTGTGTGTGTGTTTATCTTGATGGGGTCCAGTTCCACGTGGACTCCTAAGGGGGACTACATATCCTCTAACACAGACGAATGCAGCTCCACATTGTCGTACGCTGTGAATTTGAAACAGCCTGGCTCTGTCACTTTCCAGTACTTCTATCCTGATAACAGCATCTTCTTTGAATTCTATGTAAGTATTATAATGTTAGACGTGGGCAGCTGTCATCCTTTGCATTCTGATCATTTAAGGCCAACTTTTGTTATCTTAAGTACTTTGGTGGTGCATTTCTCATTAATATGACATTGAACATTTGCTGAAATATTTGGAGTGTTTTTAAGACCTAATAGTGTAACCTGACTCTTAAATCTAATGTTTGCGATTGTTAAAAATCTTTCTGCTTTTAAATGCCATTGTAACTGTGCTACCAATGTCCTCCTGTGACACCAGTACAGCAGACAACTATTAATGTCTTACAGGAATAATGAAAAAACCAATCTACAAATTAGCATCAAAATATGATTCAGGCTGGAGTTTGTCTATCAATAGACTGAAGAATTGTTTCTAAAATATGAAAAACATTCATGTGGTAACTACACTATTTGGCCAAAAGTATGTGGACACCTGACCATTACATCCATAGTTGGTTCTTCCTCAAACTTTTGCCACAAAGTTGGAAGCACACAATTGTTTAGAACATCTTTGTATGCTGTACCATTAAGATTTCCCATCACCAGGACCTAAACCTGTTCCAATATGACAATGCCACTGTGCACAAAGCAAGGTTTACTAAGGTTGGTGTGGATGATCTTGAGTGGCCTGATCTCAACCCCACTGAACACCTTTGGGATGAACTGGAACACCAACTTCATGCCAGGTCAGTGCCTGACCTCACTGTTGCTCTTGTGGCTGAATGGGCACATATCCCCAAATACATGTTCGAAAATCTAGTGGAAATCATTCCCAGAAAAAGTGGAGGCTGTAATAGGAGAAAGAGGGGACCGATTCCATATTAAAGACTATACTTTTGGATAGGGATATTTAATAATCACATAGGGTATGATGGTCAGGTGTCCACATACTTTTGGTCATACGGTGTATAATACTCTGTTTATCCATGTCCTATGTGTGTTGGTTGTCAGGTTCAGAATGACCAGTGCCAGTCTACTGATTCTCAGAGTCGCTGGATGAAGGTTTCTGAGAATGACTGGGAGTATCACTATGTAAGTGTGTTTGCAGACACATTCGTCTGTTTCTGTTGATGTGTTTTGTGAATGCTTTAGCAGCAGTGAATGTTTTAGAAGCCTTTCACTTTGAGGTTGAGCCTGATTTTGTCCTGTGTTCCCTAACCAGGTGCAACTGAATAGTGGGAACAATGTTCTATACTGGAGAACCACTGGGTTCTCTCTGTCTTACAGCAGTGCTGTTAAACCGGTTCTCCTGAAGAACATCGCTATCTCAGGTTTAATACATCATCATCAGCATTATCATCATCATCATCATTACACTTGTCCAAAAATTTGTCAAATCTGACTGATTAATAACGAGCTACACTGTAGATAATGTTTAATTAAAGTTCTTTTTTTGCTTATCATAAACCTACCCACTTAAAAGGTTTACTGCATCATCATGATCATTGATTAATGTCAGAATTGACATTCATCACAATAAAATTTTGCCTTCTTCAGTTTTAGAAAAAGAGAGAATAACATCTTTCTAACACTTGGACCACTCTCCTCAGGGGTTGCGTACACATCTGAATGTTTTCACTGTAAGCCTGGTACCTACAGTGCTGAACCTGGAGCTGCCCACTGCACCCTCTGTCAAGCCAACACCTACTCCAATAAGGGAGCTACTGAATGCCAGCAGTGTGAAGAAGAGAAATATTCAGGTATGTGTTTGTTCATATGTTTAACTTAGTCATATACAAGTAATATTCCAATGATTAGACATGTTTAGCCCAGAATGTAAATGCTTTTGTTTGATCATATTGTGGAGAAACAGATGAAAATTCCTTTGAATTTTGAAATGAAAATTTGGGTATGAAAATGAGTTGCATACTGTACGAAAGCAGCTGTAGGATTTGCCTCCTTAGCTGCTGATGTGTGTGTTCTATCACTAGATCTAAATGTGTGCTCTTTCCTATGTGTTTAGGGATCGGGTCAGGAACATGTCAGCAAAGGCCACCCTGCACAACCAGTGACTATTTTTACACTCACACTCCTTGTGATTCCACCGGACAGGTATTGTTGAAAGTCATAATAATATGAGAAACTCTTCCTACAACAAATAAAATATTCAAGTATTTCCTACTAGTCTCTAAACGGCTAATAAAGAAACCACATTCCGTCAAGTGCCAAAGTTTCCATCACCATGTTTTTATTAAATAAAAAAAAAGATAAGTAAATGCATTCTGTAATCCAAAAGATGAGACACAATCAATTGATAAATAGATTGCAATGTAGAAAAAGCAAAAAGTTTAAGTTTTGCCACGACACCATTGATTGATTCTCTAGGCCTGATTTGACAAAGGCAGTGTATGACACTCTTAACAGACATGTCAAAAAGGAGGGACAAAGAAACGCAAAAGAAAAAAAATAATTGGAGGCTTTTATAGTTTCGGTTATATAGTTTATAAATAACAAGGGGAAATAACATTTGGATTGACATTTTGATATAAAAACTCAGGGAGCATGGTGGATTAGTGGTTAGTACATTTGCCTTGCACTTCTGGGGTTGGGGGTTCGAATCCTGCCTCTGCTGTGCGTGCATGTCTCAGATGCTTAGATGGATTAGATGGATTATATAGAGGAGATACTCTGTAGCATGTTGTCTTATTGTATTTTCTTTTTTCATGTACATTTTCCTTCTTGTCTTTTCATAGACACAACTGATGTATAAATGGGTTGAACCAAAGATCTGCAATGAGAATGCAGAGGGAGCAGTGAATCTCCCAGCCTCAGGGGAGATGCAAATATGTCCCCCATGTAATCCTGGATTCTTCACTAGCAATTCTTCAGCTTGCCAACCCTGTCCACAAGGCTTCTATTCCAATGGAACAGGTGTTATACACAAACAGTACACCACATGCCTCTATTATAAGTTACAATTTCAAGTTGAAATTAAACTGATAGAATAGAAAGAAAGAAATCACCAGAAAGCACCCAGACTTAGATGTTCTGTTGTGTTTACAGCATGTTCAGAGTGTCCTGCTGGAACAGAGCCAGTGGAGGGTTTCGAGTATAAATGGTGGAACAGGATGCCCAGCAACATGAATAGCTCAGTCTACAGACGAGAGTACAGCGGCACTCAGAGGAGCACAGGTAAACAAAGCGTTATGGTGCGTGTCTGGACCAAACACACATTGTTTGCAAATTCATTGACCCTCACTATCTGTGAAGTCGACACTATACAAATTTATTAACAAAGCCTTGTAGTGATAGTGAGGCAGAGATTAAACACTGAAGGGACAAAAGAATCTTTCATTCAGAATAAGGCAGACAGATAGGTTTATGAATAGATGTATTACAAATTTAGTTGTGAAGAAGTTAAATCAGCTCACTGATCCTAGAGTACTAGTTACTAATTCAGAATAATATAGCTCAAAAGATTAAAAATTATGTGCTCAATCCAAATTTTCGGATGCAGAGACTGGTCTTTTATATTTCACCAGTTGTTAAGATTTGTAATTAAAACTATGCTTTGTTGCAACAGGATGGGAGGTAGCTGGCGAGTACGTTTACACCACGCCTGGAGATTTGGACTCAGACTACATGATGCTAACACTTTCTGTACCTGGTTATAGGTAAGAAATGGCAGATACAAACAACCCCTAATATTATACACGAATGAAACAAACATATATGATCTATGGATATTATGTAAGTAGTATTAACTCCCTATGTTCGATATTTTCTTCTTGGAAGGTGAAACTTTCTCATCTTCATGTTTTTCATATCTCTATATTGCTCAGCTTGCCCTACTCCTTGGATAAAGATAATGACAGGGCAGAACTTTCTAGAATCACATTTGTCTTTGAGACCAAATGCACATCTGACTGCACACTTCATTTCATGACAGTAAGCACTTAGGTTTTTACACAAGTCATACAAGTTGATTATAAGCATAATGATTTTCATGATTTTCTACTTATAACTACTTATATTTGTATAACCAATAACTTATATTTGTATAACCAATAGAAATAAGAAATTCAGTAACTGTTCCAGATTTGCAATCACTTTTGTTGTTGAGCAATGCAAATAAATGTGCTGGTCTCATGCACTTTAAATGCTCTGTGTGTGTGTGTGTGTGTGTGTGTGTGTGTGGTCACAGGGCTTGAATGAGCGGAACAATCGTGTAGTGGAGACCTGGAGAGGCACCATCGGGAAGCAGTCCTATTCTTACCTTATTAAGAGCAATCTTACTGTGAGCTTTACCTGGGGCTTTCAGCGCACTGATACCTACAGTATGGTGAGAACTGGAGAGGAGTTTCCATATAATTTTTATTAAAATGTGTATATATCTCGTTATATATGATAATGAAGAGAGTGCTCAATATGCATAAATATACCTTTATATATCAGTTCTTTATAAAAGGTGATGTGTAGGCTGAAGTTGATAATTATCCTATAATAGCAAGTCCTGATGTCTTTTATTCCTCTTATAGCACAACAATTTACTTATGACAATAAGTAAATAAGATGACAATAAGATGACAATAATTTTATTTTTTTTGTTTTATAGTGGGGCACTGTTACGTAATGATTAGCACATTTGCACATTCCTACCTCTGCCCTGTGTGTGCGAAGTTTGCATGTTCTCCCCATGCTTTGAAGGTTTTCTGTGGGTACTCCGGTTTCCTCCCCCAGTCCAAAATCATGCGTTATTCACAGATTGTCATTTCTAAATTGTCTGTTGTATGTGCAATTGTGCTCTGCAATAGGTTGGTACCCCATCCAGGGTGTCCCCTCTCTTCTGCCCCAAGTTCCCTAGGATAGGCTCAGGCTCCCCTTGTGACCCTTGTGTAGGATAAGCAGTATGGAATATAATGGATGAACAATTTTATAGTTATGTCTAATGTTGTATTATTGAATGTCCATGAGACAGGCTACCTCCTGTTATCATTTATGTTGTAGTAGCTATAATCAATCATTCCTTGACTAAACTCTTTTTTTCTCTCTCTTGATGTTAATAAGAACACAGCTTGTTGTGTTACAGAGAAACCTCAAAGCCCTCCACACTGAAGACTTTTCCATAGCTGAAAACTTGTTGACTGTTACAGAGCAATGCCCACCCATTCCATAAATGTTAAATTAACTTATTTGTGTTGTTGTTAAAAAACAAACAAACAAATAAACCCAGGGATCAGGGTGGCTTAATGATTAGCACGTTTGCATCGCACCTCCGGGGTTGTGGGTTTGAATCCCATCTCTACCCTGTGTGCGCAGTGTTTGCATGTTGCATGGGGTTTCCTCTGGTACTCCGGTTTCCTCCCGTAGTCCAAAGACATGTGCTGTAGGCTGATTGGCATCTCTAAATTGTCCATAGTGTGAATGAGTGTGTGTGTGTGTGTGTGTGTGTGTGTGTGTGTGTGTGTGTGTGTGTGTGTGTGTGTGTGTGTGTGTGATTGTGCCCTGCGATGGGTTGGCACCCTGCCTTGTTCCCTGAATCCCCTAGGATAGGCTTCCCAGATAAGCAGTACAGAAAATGGATGAATGGATAAAAACAATTAATTATTAGATAAGTAGATTGTGTTATACAAGTCATTGTGAATGAGTTGTTACTACAGAATAATAACATTTTGGAACAAGTGCGTTAATATCAACCTGTGGATTCACCTTGCACCAATCAGATTCGAGAGTTCAATAGCACTGTGGTATAAGGTGTCGTATAATGCTGAAGTTCATGGTTTGGTAATGTTATCCATTATTGCCAGTTAAGGGAACCTTAATGTCAAGTATTACCTTTTAATAATAAACATTTGTCTCCTTTGTTTGCAGGAGAGGCAGTACAGCTCAGACTTCGCTAAGATCTACTCTATTCAAATTAGCAATGTGATTGGAGGAGTGGCCTCTCAGTGTCGACAGTGTGCACTAGACTCCTCTCAGACAGACTCAGCCTGCGTCTCCTGTCCTCCTGGACACTACATGCTACATGGCACTGGAATATGCAGGAGCTGTCCACAAAACACCTTCATAAGGCCTGAGCAGCCTGTGGGAAAGGAAGCCTGCATCCCATGTGGACCTAATACTAAGAGCAACCAAGTAACACTGCTAAATATTTTTCTATCACTTCATTTATTGCATCACAGGAGGTGTTTTGTACTAATTTGTACTAAATGTGGTCAAAGCAACAGACATGTAAAAGGCAAAACACATTAATGATATGTCTATTGTAGTACATTTATCATACACAGTATTCATGTAAGTACTGTGACTTTGACATTATCTCTTTCTATTGTCTCATCCTGTTTTCAGGCCCACTCAACCTGCATTAGTGACTGCACTCTGTCTATGCAGTATAAAAGCGAAACTCTGCAGTATGATTTCTCTCACCTGGCCAGTGTTACTAATTTTTACAGCAGTCCTCGCTTCACCAATAGAGGCCTTCGTTATGTGCATCAGTTTAGTGTGAGGCTGTGTGGCAAAGAGGTAAATTCAGTAGTTTAGATGAGCTGTAACAAGTTGATTATGATCCTGATCATATCATTTTAAAATAGTCTATCTTTACTATTAATCTATAGTATTAAATTGTTTCATGTGTTTCTAATGCTCAAGATCATACTAAAACTGGCCTATGATAATTTTTTGCACTTTTACCCTCATTAAAAATGTGTACAAAATATGGTAATATGGTAAGTTTTCAGTATCAGAGTCTTGACTTCATTCATATTCTCTTCTCTTTATTTAACACTAACCAAACCTGTTAAACTATACAATAACAATAAATAAATAAAAAAAAAACTAGTTTGTTCATCACTAGTATTAGCTATATTCTTTATTGTGTTATTTCTGTGGGTAAATGTTTCTGGGTACCACTTCCATTTTCTAATCATTTGCATATGTGACGTGATTGGATCACAAACACTGAGCCTATTTTGTTTTATTACAAACTGAGCTTGGACATACCATGCCTTGGTTCTTTTTTTGTGGAAGTGCTAAGATTGTTTAAAATAGACAAATGTGACCTTTGCAAATGTGACAAAAACACCAACGTACATAATCAGAATCGGCCATCTGAGAGGAATTGACCATTTTTAACCACCAGCTGTGTACTCTTAGGACCGTGTTCTGGCTTCCTGTGTTGATAATGTAACGGAGAGCAGGAAGGAGGTGAATGGTTATATCTGCCAGTCAATCATAGTGCCTACTGATGTCAGAGGTCAAAGTGTAGTGTCCTCACAACCCTTTATTATTGGAAGCACATTGATTGGTGAGTTTTAAGTGAACTTACAACCAAACTGAACAGCTTTACACAGTCACCTGCTGTTTAAATTTTCTGGGTTTTTTTTTTTTGTGTGTGTTTTTTAACCAAAGGTGTAACCACTGATTCCACACTTGATAACATCTCATCTTCTGGGAGTACCTTTCCTTCACAATCTGAACTGCCTGATGTCATATTTTACTACTGGTAAGATCAGAGAAAAAACTCTGTACATAAGCACCAGTTAAATTTAAATAAATGTTCTGAAGAATTGTCGTTAATCTTGTGTCTTCATTCTTTTTGTGTCTTTAGGGCAAGTGAAACAACACAGGCATGTA